AAAAGTAATATGAAAAGTGGGGCCCTCAAGTTCCAGGTGACGGGAAATAATCACAGTATTTGGCCAGAATCTGGATTATCAACGAATGATGTGTTTCAGAAACGACTTTTAGTTTATGAGCAAGGTTGGTCCTAAAAGGGAGGTGGGAATGCACCTTCCTCCCTTCTGTGCAGAAGCAGAGGGTCTACAAATATGGACACTGCACAACAACGTTGGATTTGAATGATGTATTGGTTTTTCAGAACTGTATTTTCTTCTTTTCAAAATTCCTTGCTCTAAAAACAAAAGGGGGAGAAAGACTGTGAAATAGTGACATAACAACAACATATAAGTTTGTTCAAATTCTTGAGGTCTGAGTTTAATCACATATAACATAAGATTTGACAAGATGATCTCCACATGAGAAAAGGAAACTTTTAACACATAGCATTAAAATTTCACTATTAAAGACCAGTAATTATGGATACTCAGAGTACGGTACTAATATAGGGCCATTTAATGGCAAAGACTACTCTGTTTATTTTTCACGTGTTTTAACTTTAGTCATACCTTTTGAGCTAATGTTATTTCCTATAATTTTAATTTACTTACAGCATAAACAATAAGTCATTTGAGTGCAATTTTTAAAAATTTTCTAGAAAATAAAGAGATCTTTTTAAAAGGGGTCAGGGGAGAATCATGATAATGTTAAACACGCTCTAAAGGTAAAACAATGACAACAGCACTTCACCTTACCTAGAATGGAGCTGCTATACAGAACAGATTGTTTTGCCACTCACTGAACATACTCTCTGGCTGCACCCACCACCCCCCAGACTCAGGCATACATTCATAGTGAGGTACCATTCCTAATGAGGAGCTACAGTGACCTTGGCACTGCGCTTTCTGCAAAGAATATTTAAAGATGCATATGTTTTCTACCTTCCCCATTCCCCAGTAGAAAAAGACTACAGTTTCTTTACAAGGCTTTTCAAATATGTCAATGTTTTATAGAGTATATAACTCTGACTTTCTTTTTTAAATTAACTAATTTTAAATTAGTTCTTGGTTCCCATTAACTATACAGAAAGGACCAGTTTTCCCATAGGGCAGCTGGGTGGTACAGTGGATGGAGTGCCAGGCCTAGAATCAGGCCTCAGAACTCATCTTCTTGAGTTCAAATCCAGCCTCAGATACTTACTAGCTGTGTGACTCTGGGCAAGTCACTTAACCCTGTTAGTCTCAGTTTTTTCATCAGTAAAATGTGTGGGAGAAGGAAATGGCAAACCACTCCACTACCTTTGCCAAGAAAACCCAAATGGGGTCACAAAGGGTCGGATACAACTGAAAAATGAACAAATGAACAACAAAAAGTTTTTCCATTAGATAGCTTAAATACACTTTTCTTTTTAGGTTTTCTAAGATGACCAATAATTAACAACGATTTCAGTACACAAGGAAGATCTTTGTCATGAAAAAATCATGAAAGGGACAGTCTTATCTCTACTGGAGCCCTTAACATTCTAAATCAAGTATTGGCAATCTATGGCACAGAAGGCACGGACTGTTATCAAACCTTTTTTTCTGGCTGATTTTCAGAGCTTCACCAGAGACAGCCGTCACTATCTACAATTCTTACCTGTTAGTGAACAAAGGGCCGGCTTTGGAGCCAGAAAAGCCTAAGTTAAGTATTGCTTGCCTCTGACCCACACTGGCTGTGTGAAATTAGGCATATTAGATAGTGCTTAGAGTACAGATGCTACTATCAGTTGCAGAGAAGACGTGGAACTGCCATCAGTAGAGGGAATTTCTTTATCTGGGAGGAAAACTATGAAACCATGGGAATGCCCCAAAATGCCCATTCTTAATCTTATCCATATGATTCCTCTCCCTCTATTTTCTTCTGGGAGTTAACACACTACATAATTCATAAGCTCATCTGCCACAAGGAAAAAGTTGGAACATGAGCATGTTAATTTTGAAAGGTCAGGAACCCCAATTTTGACTTTTACAGAAGTACTTATCCACACATATTATTTGGTCACCCTAGAAGGGCCAATTTTATATGTAAGTGAACTAAACAAACACTACCAAATACATTTTCTGTAGCTAGAGAAAAGGATGGCAAATTTCTGGATTTGGATTTTAAAACCAGTAACATTCTGAAACGTTTAATACGACAACTCGTACAAAACACTTAGGATTATCGCAGTAGAATTTAAAGGCTGGAAGGGATCTTGGAGATAATCTAGTTCAAACCTCCTTTATTTTATAGCTGTGGAAACTGAAGCCTAGTGGGACATAATGAGTTTTCAAGGTCACACAAGTTGTCAGTGGAACAACTGTATTTTGAACAAAGGTCTTTTGACTTTAAATCTCAAATATATTAACTCCTCTTTCCTTCTAAAAAGAGGAAGGAGAAAAACAATAAGTTTACCTTCAACTCATATAAAATGAAGAGATCACAAAATGAGTGCAGAGCCTCAATTTTTACTGATAATTTTATTTGGAGATTGTATTAACAGGTAGAACTCGAACTTAATAAAACTAATTGATGGAACTAAGACCAGTGGCTTTCAGAAGCAGGAAAGCAGTCTTGTTCTAGAAGAGTTTTAAGCAGCATAAGAAAGTCTACCTAAGTTCCGATTTGTGTCTTTGGAGGGAGTAGCCAAACAAATGAAAGGATGGATCCATCCAAATGTTTAGAGCAATTTTTCATTAAAAATATGCTTAAATTCTATTTTTATTAACAAAAAAATTACTTTATCAGTCCCCAATATATGGTATAACTTCAAACCTTGTTACACCAAAGGAGGTATGCTAAGGGATCTCTGACCTGACAGAGGCAGGTAGAATTTTACAGAACTCATGACTTAGGTTCATTAACCTGCTAATTTAAAACGTTTTCTAGAAAATAATGGCCCTAAAAATGTGGCATTTTCTTGGGTGGCTGCAATGCCTCAGCTTTCAATCACTATTTGAAAGCATTCAAAAATTAAACCTCGCATAACTGTTTGAACTTCTCCTTTGGATCATGGTACTTAAATCTTGCCAAAACCATGACAAGTATCAAAGTAAAATAAAAGTGCAGTCCACTTTCCAATGAATTATACATCTAACAGTTGTTTCCTGTGGGATTAACTGTCATCACTAAAGTCCTTGACTAATAAATCAACTACTAAAGTCTTAAATATGGATTATGAAGTTATTTTTCAAGAAGATATTTTCAACTAGATGATATATGATAGCCAGTGACTGATTCCTTTATTCCAACTGCTATTAAACTGTTCCTCTGGAACTTGGAGAAGGCCATTTTGGAAGATCAAGCAGTTCTAAGTCAATGTTACCAGGACCCCATTGTGCATGATTCTTAAAAAAATAAATGACACAATTTAAGAACAGATTTATTTCAAAGGACATAGGTCTAGGTAAATAAAATTGTAATTAGTAACTTTTCCAAGGCTTTGTTTAGTCTGTATCTTTTTTTTGGGGGGGGGTGCTAGGCAATGGGGTTAAGTGACTTGTCCAGGGTCACACAGCTAGTAAGCGTCAAGTGTCTGAGGCCGGATTTGAACTCAGGTCCTCCTAACTCCAAGGAGAGTGCTCTATCCACTGCGCCACCTACCTGGCCCCTAGTCTGTATCTTAAAGAATACTTTTTCTCCCTTGAGTTATTATTCAACAATTAAATATTTTAAACCTATTTTAGCCCCATTTCCTTATCTTATCTTCATAATATACCATCATAATATACCATTCTAAACAACTGAAATTTATACATATTTTTACACATGGGGAAAAGAGAACCTCTGTTTTATCTTTTAATTTCCCTTATGCTTTTTTAACAATTCTAATGCTTTCTCTAAAGTGACTCTTTGTACTAAGGGGGTAAGAGTAAGAAAATAGGCAAGCAGATTAGGAAATTGTAATTATTAACTGGCAGGCAAGAAGCTGACTCCTTATAGAGTCTGAAATCTGGCACAAAAGTATGATGAATGCTCAAATAGTTCTCTTGCTGCTATTATGCCATTTAATATTTGTTTAGTTTTTGTTATATAATAGCTACCAAATATAGAGGAATACAGGGTTTCTATTTTTTTTTATTTTATTCTGAACTTAAGGAATAAAACAAGCATTTCCATAACATAATAGAATAGGGAAGGAAAAAAAAGATCATTGCATATGAAACTGAAAAATTATTATGTATAATTTGCTATTCCTTTTAAATATATAAACATTATAATTTAACTTCCCCCCCTTTTTTTCTTCCCTCTCCCCAACCCCAACCCTAGAGATGGCAGAGTTCCAATTTTCCAGGGCTGCTACTCCAAAAGAACGTTCCAATACATAGTCTCCACACCCACCCTCCCCTTTTCTATCTAGATCATCATCTCAGGCTGCTCTACCAGTGAGGTTGAGCTCATGGGTCAAAGTGTATGATGCCTAAGTGTATGCATTGGGGATGAGGAGGCTGACTTTGAAAAGCAGTCTAAAACTAACATCCATTCTATGTCATGGAAACAAAGATAAAGGTTGAGTTTAGTAGGAACAAATAAGCATAAGAGCCATGAGATGGTGAAAGAGAAAATTACTGGATACAAGCTATAACAAAGTGCTTAAGTGTCTGGTCAGATGTTGGAAGAGTTTATTTATATATATTTTGCCACTGTGTGAAGCTCAGTCTCTTAATCTCTGTAAAACCTATGGATGGAAAACCCCTAAAGATAGTAACTATCCCTCTGCCATGGAATTTATATACTATATTACATGCTATAAGGACTAAAATGTAATTATGAATGAAAAGTTTTTGTCACTGAAGTTCTAGATCAAATTACTTATCTTCATGTGCAACTTTCCTCAATCTCATTTGCAACTTTTGATTTACATAGTAATCAAAACATATTTTCTCTTTCTTTTTTTTTTTTTTCAAATCAGACCAAGGCTTTTATTTTATTCATTTTTTGCATTTAAAATATCCTTCAATGACACCTTTGGCCTGAGATTCCTTGCCATAGTCCTTACCAACAGCGCAACTGCAGCCAGCCACTTTACGGGGCTTTCCCTCTCTGTCAGTTTGACAGAGGCCTGCCCATTCGCCCAGCTTCTTGTTGTCATCAACCTCGATCAAGTTTATCTGGTGCTCAGCACACAGGGCCTCAACCAACTTTACATACATAGGTTCATCACAGCTGGAAGCAAGAACACAAAGATGGGCTTGGTGTTTGTCCAAGGCTTTGGTAGCTTCACGAATTCCACGAGCTAGGCCATCGTGGATGAGTGCAGTCTTCACCACTTCTTGTAGAGCGGTATTAACGTCCGTTACACCTCCAGCAGCAATGCCTTTTTCCGCCATGGCAGCAGTTCACGGGTGAAGCTAAATTCTGAAAACACCCGGAAGTCTCCGCCTCCCACTTGATTCAACGGTGACAGGGAAAGAGCTCTCTCTTTTTTCTTTCTTTCTTTTTTTTTTTAAAAAAAGCACTAACTTCACTAATATCATCAGTAAGTTGTAAATAGCTCTTTGTGGTGTCTCAGTGGTAAAACAGCAGTGAATATGGCCCCATTGGGAGATCACTATGAAATTTGAAAATTACAAATAACATGCATGCATTGATATAACTGGATGGTCTAGATTCCACATATTAGTCATACTTGGTTTTATAGCAGAAAAATTAATATGGCAATTTTTTTATCTCCACTTCCCATAGTTCCATCTCTTTAGAGCTTCCTACCTCTAACCTTTAACCTGTGTTCTTTCCCAAGAGCCACAAAATATCCCATTATCAAGCAAAACAAGAACAATGGCATAAAATGCTACTAAAAAGAGGAACTCAATACACTCTGCATATGGAATGATTCTCATTCACAGAGGTCCCAGTGAGGATTCAATCCACAAGAGACAAAGTTTATAGTCTAATATAAATATAAGTCTATGGAATCTCTCTTTGTGACTCTCTCTACTCTGAGCATTTTCACTGGCTATCCCCTATGCCTGGAACATTCTTCATCTCTCTTTCCATGCTTCTGGGGCTTCTTTCAAGTGGTTGATAAAACCCCACCTTCTGTAAGAAGCCTCTCCCAATCCTCCTCAATCTTAGAGCTCTTTCTCTGAGACTATTTCCAGTTTATCCCGTAAATATCTTTGAATATAGTTGTTTATATGTTGTCTTCTTCATAAGACTGAGCTCCTTGAAAGTCAAGACTGCTGATCTTTTTTTGACCTTTTTTTTCTTTTTCTTTTTTTGGTATCCTAGTGCTGGCCCCTAGTAGGTGCTTAAGAAATGCCAGCTGACTGACTAATATGATGTGACTGGTTCATTCCAGATAGATGGAAGTCAGGCAACAATCTTTCCTGTGTTTGGGGACAGGAACATATCTGAAAGATGGATTCACATTTGCAGATAAGACATGTTGGCTTGAGAGTTGATCAAATGTTCTTCTAAATTTAATCTATTGGGGCAGCTAGGTGGCGCAGTGGATAAAGTAAAGGCCCTGAAGTCAGGAGGACCTGAGCTCAAATCTGGCCTCAGACCAAACACTTAACACTTACTAGCTGTGTGACCCTGGGCAAGTCACTTAACCACAATTGCCTTAAAATAAATGAATGAATGAATGAATGAATGAAAAAATAAACAAATATAATCACTTCATCACTCAAAAAAAATCTGCATGAAAAATTTGAAGAGTACTCTCATTTCTGTAGTAAAGTCAAATCTTCTATGTCACTGCAAAACCATACTGCTGTGTGTTTATGTTGCACTTTTCTCTTGAGCATCTAAGTCCTTTACTGAAACATTAATTTCCTACTTTACATGTCTGCAATCTAGGTAATGAGCAAAAGGTTTTTCTTTTTTTCTATTTTTTTTTTTAAATGAGCGAGGAAACAGACTGGATGGGCAAATGGGCTTTCAAAGTCATACATGGGCTTCAACAAAATTAAAGTCTAATGTGACAGCTCTGAGCCTATTAGGTAGGTAGTGCATATATAGGTAGCCCTTTTGTTTACAAAATGCTACAATTCTTGGAAACACTATAGCCACACAATCACAAAAGGTGTATAGGTGACAAAGACAGCTATCTACCCATTGAATACGGGCCTTGGGCACACATGAAGGTCAACTAGCACCCTTTTATTTCAAAGGACTATGAAATGTTTGGCCTCTTGTCAAAATCACCTTGCCTAATCATTTTACCACTGGCTAACATTGCCTTCCCCAGGCTTCTGACTAGGCTGAGAAGGTTGACAGGTTGTCACTAGAAAGCTCTAAGTCACTAGGGAATGGCTTGTTTTCTTTCAAACAAGGAGATTATTGATAAGAATTTAACACTTCCCTTGTCTTTTGAAGCATAAGAGTCACAATGCTGACTTTCAGTAAAACTGAGGTGGGTAAGAGTGGACATTCTAAAAAAAATTTCATTCTACTTATTTGGATGTATCAAGTAACTTATTTGTCTCTTATGTGAGGATTACCAGTTCCTTTCCAGGTAAATGAAAGAGAAACCCTCCATTAATGAAGTACACTAATGCTGAGAAAGAGAAAAAAGGACAGAGGAAACAGGGCTTAGGTTAGTCTCAATATAGCTACTTGTCCATTCACCCTGAGTATTTAAGAATTCTTCTCAAGCAAGTGGGAAGAGGCAGTGAAGCTAAATGGTTCATTAGGGCTAAGATGAGCTACCATACCTCCTTTTGGGAACCCTCAAGATCACTGTGGTAGCTCCAGGAAGAAAAAGAGTACTTACTATGGCTTCATTTTCCATGGATCCAGGCTTTCAAAATTCCTAGTGAAGAAAGGGCAGCTGATTTTCCATTTCATCAATAATCCTGGGAAATTTCTTTTTTTTTTTAATAAATTTATTTTGAATTATCAACAGTCACTTCCATAGGCTTTTGAGTTTTAAATTTTTCTCCCCTTCCCTCCCCAAGACAGTGCACAATCTGATATAGGCTATACACATACATTCCTATTAAACACATTTCCACATTAGTGATGTTGTAAGTAGGAATTAGAACCAATAGGAGGATCCACCAGAAAGAGGAAACAAAACACAACAGAAGGGAAAAAAACTAGCAAATGGTATGCTTCGATCTGCATCCAAACTCCATAGTCCTTTCTTTGTATGTGGATAGCATTGTCCATCATGAGGCCTTTGGAGATGTCTTAGATCCTTGTATTGCTGAGAAGGGTTAAGTCGATCAATAATAGTCATCTCACAACGTGGCTGTTATTGTGTACAACATTCTCCTGGTTCTGCTCACTTCACTCAGCATCAGACCATAAAAATCTTTCCAAATCTTGGGAAATTTCAAATATAGCCACTGTCCCCTAGGAAGCAGATGGCTAGCAGAAGCTGTGAGAGCAAGAGCTGAAGGCAACTTTATGGTTTGCTTGCTTGGTTTCTTCTTTTTTTTAAATTCTTAATATTTTTTTATTAATTTAATTTTAGTTTTCAACACTCACTTCCATAGGCTTTTGAGTTTTAATTTTTTCTTCCCCTCCCTCCCTAAGATAGTGTGCAATCTGATATACACTCTACATATACATTCCTATTAAACATATTTTCACATTAGTCATGTTGTTAGGAAGAATTAGAACCAACAGGAGGAACCACAAGAAAGAGGAAACAAAACAAAACAGAAGAGAAAAAAAGCAAATAGTATGCTTCAATCTGCATTCAAACTCCATAGTTCTTTCTCTGGATGTGGATAGCATTTTCCATCATGAGACTTTTGGAGATGTCTTAGACCCTGGCATTGCTGAGAAGGGCTAAGTCTATCAAGTTAGTCATCACACAACATGGTTGTTACCGTGTACAACATTCTTCTAGTTCTGCTCACTTCATTCAGCATCAGTACATACAAGTCTCTGCAGGTTTTTCTCAAGTCCACCTGCTTATCATTTCTTATAGCAAAATTTGGTTTCTTCTTTTCTTGGATTTCATTGATACCTCAGGGTTTTTTGGGGGGGTAGGGGTTGGGCAATGGGGTTAAGTGACTTGCCCAAGGTCACACAGCTAGTAAGTGTTATGTGTCTGAGGCCAGATTTGAACTCAGGTCTTCCCGAATTCAGGGTTGGTACTCTACTCACTATGCCACCTAGCTGCCCCCGGGTTTTTTTTTTTTAAATACCACAAATATTTCCCAATCATTATACCCATTTTTTTCATATCCTTGTCACAAAGAAAAACTTTAAGTAAAATTGATGGCACTGTATGCAACCCTTAAAATCTGTAGCTCCCTATCTCTCTATTGAGAGGAAACAGCTAAGTCTGATTATTTGACTTCTGGAACCAATAATACATTAATTATATCATAGTCATCATGCATATAGTTTCTGCTTACTTAAATCTGGATCAGTTCATAAAGTCTTCCCAGGTTTCTCTGAGAATTCTCTGAACTATGATCATAAGAAATATTCATCATTTCTTATAATACAATAATATTCTTTAATTCATATACCACAATCTTTGTAGCCATTCTCCAACAGATTGGCACTTATTCTTTCCAATATTTTTTGTTACCACAAAAAGGTCATCTGTGAATATTTTTCTATATAAGGTCTGGTATACATGTGTAGTGGGATTTGTATGTCAGAGTATGAACAGATTGTTAATTTTTCTTGCATAATTCCAAACTGTTTTTAGAATTGTTGGACCAATTTACAGCTCTACCAACAGTGCCTCGCCTTTGTACCCATAGCCCCTCCAATACTATTTCCACTTTTGCCAGTTTGATGGATGTGAGATAAAACCTAAAAGTTCTTTTAACTGATAGTGATTTGGAACATTTACTCATATGGATGCTCAAAATCTTATAATTCTTCTAAAAATTATTTATATCCCTTAATAATTACATTTTGGGGGAAAGTTTTTGCTTGGCCTTACATAATTGTTTTAATAACATACATGTGTGTATGTATGTATACACATATGTGTATACATATGGGCATATATGCATATAAATCAGCTATCAGATGTCTCATCAGAGAGATTTTTGATGCAAAAAATCTCCCCCTGTTGACAGTTTTCCTTATTGTATTTACATTGATTTTTGTTCACATAAAAGTTTTAAATTTTTAAATGATTGAAATTCCTGGTAAGGAAACTCACTATTCCAATGTAGACAGGCAAATGATGCAAATTACAGCATTGAAACCTATTACAATGCTTCTTTCTATTTTGTAATTTTTTAGAAAAAAATCTGTGACCTCTTATAATCTAAATCACTTATATACAGGATTTTAGTGTTGTAAATGGTGTAGGATACCAGGTTAGACTTATTTGACAAAGTGCTTTGTAGTTTTCTCCGAAGATTTTGTGAATAGAGCCTACTCAAC